CCTCATGACTTTTTATTTCTGCATTCTTGAGCTTCTTCAAATGTCAGTTTATGATTCAAATAAGTAAATTCAGTTCTCTTATCAAATACTCATGGGCCATGAGAAATGCAAAATTAAACCAAATATAGTCCTTACTCCCCAGAAACTTAAAATTTGTAGGACACAAAAGTAAATCATGTTGGCAATAGATGCATGTACAAATGTGAACAAAATGCTATGGGAACCCAGGAGAAGGAGAGAATAAAAAGTTAGTGGATTGGACAAGTGTAAAACAAGTAATAACAAATTAAAACCTGTAACAAAAACAAAACAAAAGAAAGGTTTCTCTCTTTCTCCTTTTTAAAGATTTTATTTATTTGTCAGCACAAGCAGGGGGAGCAGCAGGCCCCCACTGAGCAAGGAGCCTGATGCGGGACTTGATCCCAGTCCCAGGACCCTGGGATCACGACCTGAGCAGAAAGCAGATACTTAACCGACTGAGGCACCCAGGCGTCCCAAAACAAAGGTTTCTCAAAGGAGATGATAATTGAGATAGACCTGGAACAATGGCTAAGACGTTTAAAGGTAAAAAATGAAAATTCACTATATTTAACTTAAGAAAGCAGTGTGAAAAGAAACACACACAAAGGACAGAGGTGGAATGAGGCCCACTTGCGGGGACTAGCAGTTCAGAGGGGGATGGGGGAGGCATCGGTGTAGATGCATCTGAAAAACCAGGTTAGATTCAGATCTTAGAGGCCAAAGAGTTTGGATTCCCTGACATAGGCCCTGGGGTGCTGAGAAGATTTCAAGTGGGAATGGCTTCAGTGTTAATGATAACGAGAACAAAGGCAATGGAAGGCTGAAACATCATGCAGCGACAGTGAGTTTTAAGTGTTCCTGTACTGGAATGCCTGGGTGGCTCAGGTGATTGAGAGGCTGCCTTCAGCTTAGGTCATGATCCCAGACTCCTGGGATCAAGCCCCGAGTCTGGCTCCCTGCTTGGTGGAGAGCCCGCTTCTCCCTCTCCCTCTGCCCTGTTTGTGCTCGCTCTCTGTCAAATAGATAAATAAAACCTTTAAAAAAAATAAATGTGCCTATACTTACTAACCATGGGCTGTTGGATTGGCAGCCCATATGCACCCAGTGCTCCAGCAACAAGGCAATTATTCTTTCTCATTAGCCATCTTAATAAAAAGATAAATGAGTTTATTTTAATAATAGTTTTAGAATATGGAACAAAAGATATTAACATCTTATGATTGATTTTACACATACACACAGGCGCACACATTTGATTCCCTTATATCTCTTATGCTTCCTTTTGTGAGTTACTTCCATTAACCCAAATACAAGGAGAAAAAAAGTTACTAGATGAAGGCCTAAATGATGTTTCTAAAGTTTGCAGGATGTTTACCAACATCTCGGCCTCTACTCAGTAGATGTCAGTAGCACCCCTCCCCAATTCATGACAACCAAAAATGTCTCCAGATATTGCCAAAATGTCTTCTGGAGGAAAAAATCCACCACCCCTCCAATTAAGAAACAGAGTTAAAATACAATATTTTTCACTATAGACAAAAATATATCTTTCCAAGCATCTTGATGCTGGCAATTTTTTTTTTTAAGATTTTATTTATTTGACAGAGAGAGACACAGTGAGAGAGGGAACACAAGC